TTGTTTGAGTTAGTCGCGGGGAAAGTTTGGAGATCTTTCGGGGAAGGGGCGAAGAGCGTTTGTGCCTCGTGTCCCGGGAAGGCTGCGCTTGTCTCAGCCCCCCCGGGCTCACCGCGTCCCCCCGAGCGGGTTGGGACCCGCGGAACGTGTCCAGCGGGGGCTGGTATTTCTGCCCCTGTCCCGAATAACGGGGACTGATAAAAACTGATATTTCTGCCCCTGCTAACGGGGACCGATCTCTGTCCCCGTCCCGGCTAACAGGGACCGATCTCTCTGTCCCTGTCCCTGCTAACTTGGACCCATCTCTCTGCCCCAGCTAACTCGGACCGATCTGTCTGTCCCTGTCCCGGCTAACTCGGACCGATCTCTTTCCCCCTGTCCCAGCTAACTCGGACCGATCTCTCTGTCCCTGTCCCAGCTAACTCGGACCCATCTCTCTGTCCCTGTCCCGGCTAACTCGGACCGATCTCTCTGCCCCTGTCGCTGCTAACGGGGCCGCAGCTGCGATTCCCGTTAGTGCCACCCTTGGCCGCCCCAAACCGCCCTCGGAAGGTGTGGGAGCATCACTCTCAGTGGCGCAACTCGGGGTTTTTTTGTGTGTGTTTCACTTCCTTTCCTGTGCGGTAACTCGGCTCATTAAGGGGAAAGCTATGCAAATAAGGAGGAAAAAAGTCAATAGAAGCAATCTCCGTGGTGCTGCAGCAGTCAGAACACAAAGAATTTGGGGACTGGTTGTTTGCACTACTAATGCTTTCATCGCATCTAAATGTTCTGGAGGTGCCACTGGAGGAAGTGGTAGAAAATTATATTTCCTCAATCGGTTAATTTTCCCTTCTTGGTGTCATTTTTCTCCGTTCCAGTTAGTAGGTGTGAGTGTAACCCGAGTCAGGATGTTCTGGAGATGATGCACTGAAGTAACACAGCTGGCAGTTTCGGTCACTGGCAGCTGGAGCCTTTTCCTGTTATTTCCATTGTTCAGAAAAGTCATGATTTAGTTCATTTTTTTTCTCATTTGCAACCAAAGAAGGAAACATATTTATACAATTGCTTTGTACATGAAGCCTTTGGCTCAGGGTAATCTGAGTTGTTGTATAAATAACTGTAGATCTATTTGGGCCTTGTGCCTAATGGCACATGCTAGTTCTTGTATCCTTGGAGAGGATCTGCATTTCATGCTGTAACTATGTTAGTTATTAATACCTCTCTGTGGACACTCTGATGCCAACCTTGTCTCAGGCTCTGCAAACCTTTCCTGAACGTGCAGCTCCTGTGTGATCCCAGTAATGCATGGATGAACAGCATTAGATGCAATTTGGGTTATTAAAGGTCATCATTTTGCCTGTTTCCCATGTGAAATGCTCTGAGAAGCATTTGTGAAGACATTTAGTTCTCACTGAAAGTAGAATTTTGTTTCCAATCAGGTGTTTCAGCATTTTATTTTCCTCTGGTGGTGCCCAGGAGTCTGGCACAGTTCTGCTGTTGACACTGATGTGCTTGTTTGGATTGTGGACTTTGCAGGACAAAGTACATTACAATTGAAGCATGTGTCACACCTCAGGCAGTAATGAGACCTTGCCCATCCATCTCAGCCTCCAGCACTAAGTGTGTATTATAAATTCTTAATATTGCTTGATGATCCAAGTGGTAATTCCTTGCTAAAGTAACGGTACCAGTTCCAGTCAGCCTTAAAGGCTCCGAGGGCTGATTCAATTAAATGGGGTTTGGATATTCTTTCTCCTTGTGTTTATTTCTTAAGAGGTTGCTTAAGAATTTTTGCTTTGTATTGGTTGCCTTGATCTGTACAGCACAGTGACTCCAGTCAAACATTGAGGTTCTGAGCTTGCAAAACTGGTACTGTGTTTGGCAATTCCTCATTTCCAAGGTTAATGGTATCTCAGTGGCTGCTCTGTCTCCCTTCCCTCCTCATCCAAGGCATCTGGTGCTAATGCTGAGTTCACTTGTGGGCACAAGGAAATGCTTACAAGTCTGCCTGGTTGTTCAAATCAATGGATGTTTCTCCAAATCAAGATTTTTGCCTTATAACACAGTGACTTCTACTTAAAATAACTGCTTAGGGTGGAGACTCAGAGACTTACTGCTTATAACTGGCCAGTTTTGGTGAACTGGAGGTGCATTTGTAGAGTGCAGAAGACAATTCAGTGTATGATTCCAGGCAGAACTAAGTGAAAATATCTAGATTCTTTATTTCAGTTTCTGTCTAAGCAAGCTGCTGGATGCAGTGCATTAGATAACAGGACTCCAGACCTGTAAGGATCTGTGGCACTGATCAGTTTAGGACAAGGTTTGCATGTTTGCAGCACTGTCAGGGATATCCACAGCTCAGCAGAATCAGGGAGTGTGGGCCTGAAGCAACAGTCTGGGATCTAAATGTGAGAACTGTGCTTTTTAAGCTCTGTGGGTGCTTCTTGGCACTTTGTACTTTTGGCTTTTTAAAGGATGGAACAAGAAAGGATCATTTCAGTGCCTCCAGAGTAGGAAGGTGACAGTTGGGAGTGCTCAGTTTCACCCTGGGATATCCCTGCTTGTCAGAGGCCTCCTGGCAGCCTGAGCTGGCAGGATAAGAAACTTCCTGTAGCTCTGAACCCTCCCAGCATGCCAAAGTTTTGCCATGGTACATCTCTGGGTTTAGCTGTGCAGCATTTGGAACCACCTGCTCCGTTACTTGATCCCGGAGGTGCCTCAGCTGGTGTCACCTCACGGCAGAGAATTATTGCATGAAGAGACTTTGGCCAAGAAATTCTTCCTGGAGACTTTATTTCCCCTCCAGCTAATCTTGCACCACACCTTGCCCTGTGTTGTAGATACAGCAGCTCTGAGAACTGTGGTGTTCTTAGATCTGCTCTTGTGGCAGTTGGAAAACAGACCAAATCCTAACTGTCCTGGCACAGAGCTGGCTCTGAGTATTTGCATTTCACTCAGTAAGGGATTGTTTCTCTAACTATTCCGACAACAAAAGAACAGGATTTCCACTGCTACCTGTTAGTCATTCTGCCAGGGAAAATCCGGGAAGAGGGAGGCATTTGGGCATTGATCTGAAATGTTGGCATACTTAATGCTGCATAAATGCTCCTTGGAGCACATTCTGCCCTCAGCACAACTTACAGACACTGGTGAAAATGAGAATTTGGCTTTTAATTTGACTTCTTATCTAAACCTAAGGAGCTTGGCCAGGGGAGTAATGCTAACAGGGGCTTATTTCAAGGAATATTCAACATCAGTATCCAACTGTAGGAATTTTAACAGGCACTCCTGGTTTTAAAAACCTGACAATTTCTGCTCTTGTCTTGCAGATGAGGCTGATCCTGGCCTAGGGGTGTGTGGATGGATCCTGGTGATCACTTCGTTTATATTCACTGTGCTCACATTTCCCATTTCGATCTGGATGTGCATAAAGGTAAAACTGTCCTAAATTGGATTAAGACTTCAAGCAATGCAGATATTTCATAGTGGTTCTTACTGTTCTCAACTTGATTTACTCATGTTAAACACAAATTAATCCAGCTCTGTTCTTTCTTGCACTACAGCAGATGGTATTAACAGACCTCAGCACTTCAGTGTGTTCATCTTCAAACCAAGAATAAAAGAGCTATTGCAATATTTAGTCAAAATGATTCCTGCACTGATGTGTTTGCCACATCTGCCCAGATGTCATTAGTACCTAAGCTAGTTTAGGAGGTGATGGTTATTGCAAGAACCATAATTACTCTTGGAGGATTGATAGTCTAATTTGTATTTCTTTCAAGGAGATCTCTCCCTGTACATGTGTCTGTCTAAATACAAAGTATGTAAATGTCACTGTATAGTCATGAACATAGATGTGGCTGCCTGTGACACATTTGTGGGCACTGTGTCATCTGTGATCACTTTGAGTTCAATGTCTTCAGTTTTCAGACAGGAGGAATTATTTCCTCCTGTTCTGCCTGATACAGAACTGGAGCTGGAAAAATCCCTGCAGGGTCCCATATAGCTGCACTTTGTTGTGTTGTTGCCAGGATATTCCTGATGGCTGCTCCTGCTTGGACCTGCCCAGGTGACATCTTGTTGATAGATGAAGAATATTTCTTGTAGAATATTATCCTGTTGCTCTTTGCTTTTTGCCCATCAAGTCTAGGCTAAAATCCCCAAAAGCAGCCAGTAGAGAAAAGCATGTTAAATCTGAGACTCCAGACTGCCTCAGGCTGGTGCATAGGTAGTTTGGAATCCATTGTGTGGTTTCTGGAGACCTTTGCATGACATCCAAGTGTCTGTTGCAGATCATTAAGGAGTACGAACGAGCCATCATATTCCGACTGGGACGCATCTTAAAGGGGGGAGCAAAGGGACCAGGTATGTCCTGGAGAGCAATTTGCTCTAATTGGTCATTAGCTAAGCATTAACTGTTCAGAAGACATTGCAGTGGAGTGGGGAATGGATTTCTCAAGAGTTTTGTAACGGCCAGTAAGAGGATGTGTTACCAGATGTGTTTACAGGAGTGGGACTCTTAGCAACTCTGTGGGTCTCTTCCAGCTGAGTGTTCCTACTTCCTATGGAGAAGCAGCAAACTCATTATCTGTGAACCTTCCCCAGCTCTGCTCTGTTAATGTGTCTGCAGGTAGAATCAAGAGCAGAGAATGCAAAGGGAGGAATAAAGGCACAAAGATATGCTATTTCATAAAAGAAGGTCAATATATCAGTCTGAAATCCTTAATGTCCCTCAAAAGTAACAGAAAGAATTAAAGTATTTGCTAGTTTTGAAAGGTTGCCTGTGTATATTAGAAACTGGTGAGATCTGGAAGAAGGTTATTTTCAGCTGTTGCTTTTGCTGCTCAAAGGGACAGAAATGGGCAATACCTTCTGAATTTTTTTGCAATACTTCCTGGCTGTAATGCTGAGGAATTTCAAGGATCCACCAGAATAAAAGGAGGTGGATAATTTCTGCTTGCCACAAGTAACTATGTGGGGGCACTTCTAAAAGTAGTTCTTAACAGTTCTGGGGGTTTTCCAAATGTTCAAAATCTCTAAATAAGTGATACCCAGACAAATTGAAGGTTCTCAGCACACTAAGTGTGCTCTGAGCTCCTGACATAGAGCTGCACAGTCCCAGGGGTTGGATTTAAGCTTGTTCCAGTAGCAAGTTTCATCTGCTGTAATGCCCCATTTTCACATCTTCTTGAATGGATTTTTTTTGGTACAGGTTTGTTTTTCATCCTGCCTTGCACAGACAGCTTCATCAAAGTGGATATGAGAACCATCTCCTTCGATATTCCTCCCCAGGAGGTGAGTTTGCATTTGCCTTTGCATCTGCTAAAGCCTGTACAGAATTTTGTGCACTTCTCCTTTCCCCCTCTCAGCATTGGGTAATGTGGTTTGAACATAGATTTCCTGTGCAAGTGCAATGTATAGTGAAGAACACATATGTTCTTTAGTGGTATCATCCAGTAAGAGAAGAGCATGGAAGGAAAACAAATGATTCTGTCCTCTGAGGACCAAAGGAGATAATTTAATACTGCCTAAGAGCTGGGCTGGAAGGGGGTTGGACTGAAGGCTGCTGGGCTTCAGACAGCATTCTCTAATTGCTTCTGGGAAATCTGGAGCATTTCCAGACACAGCAGTGAGCTGCCCTGTGCCAATTTATCTAGATGTATAAACTAGCTAAAATAACAGGATGGAATTAATCTGTACATCAAATGCTATTTATAGCAGCTCAGGGGGGTGGGCAGCTCCCTCAGATTGGTTTGTGGATGTATGTCCTGCACAGCAATGTGATGAAGGTGGTACCACACCTCAGTTTGAAGGTCCTAAGGAACAAAAATTTACTTTTATTTCTAGTCTGTTTTTCCTTCAACCTCTGAGTTTTGTGTCAGAATGTCTCCAGAGCACTAAGCCACCCGAACTCAGTGCTGCCAGCTCAGTGGAGAACAAAAGAACAAAACCACAAGTATCCCTCTAAGAATGGGTTAGTGAACAATTGTATCTTGGTGGCTATAACTATCCCTCGTGTATCTGGTGTATTTTCCAAGACAAAGATGCTTGTTGCAACCTGTCTGGTGCATCTGTTTGCTGTCAGATTTGCTCCTAGGTTTGTTGCTCATCCTTAGCTGTAGATGGAGACAAATGGCAACTGTCCTGGCCCACTCTAAAGGGTAATTGGGAGAAACCTAATCACTGGCAGGCAGAATGTGCTTGCAGCTGCTGATGGGCCATTAGTGAAGCCATCAGTAATCCGGTTTTCCTTTTGGCTTGATTAAATTATGCTTATGGATTTAGGTTTGTTGTTGGTAGAGGCAGAAATCCGTTTTGGTTTGTACAACATGATTTCTGCGTGTGCTGCTCATTCTTTAGCCTTTGTGTGATGAAGAGCCTGCTAAAAGAGGTGGTCTGGGAAGGGACAGAGCAGGTATGTCTTGAAGTTTGAGTGACTCACATTCCTCTTGTTAAATAATGTAGTAGTAACTGTCAGACATGGAATTAAGACACTCTTCTCTTGGCCATGCAACATACTTCAGTCTCTTTTTAACTTCACTTTAAATAGAGCTATTATCAATGCATCTTTGTGGTGTAATCTCTTCCAAGCCTTCAAAGTCTTTCTCAGTGCAAGTACATCCTTCCCTTAACATAGCAGTATTTAATTCAGCATTTCACTTGACTCAGAGGATGTTCACAGATTGGATTTCCTCTGCAACTCATCTAGAAATCACCACATACTCATTCAGTAGCCAAGGTGGCACTTCCATCCAGAGTAGCTCCAAGGAGGACACTGAACTGCTGGATGATAGCAGAGCTCTTTCCAGTTAAATCTAACTGTGCTCAGGCTGACTCTCCCCCAGCTCTGCTTGTAGCCCTCTCTGAGATGCAGCACAGGGACTTACCTGGCTATGTCTCATTGCCAGGGCCAGAGCCACAGGTTAAACTTTCCCAGATGAACATGTATTTCAGGGTAAATATTTCCTGTTTTGTCCTTTTTCCTGTCACTTGCATGACTTGCAGCTCCCTCTGTGGATTTGAAGAAGGTTAAAAATAACATTATGGCAAAGCTGATGGAATGTATTTTTCCCTGAGAAGTGCTCTAATCCCATATTTACTCTCAGCTTTGCAGAGCTGTGCTGAAAGTTTTGGGAACACTGGGACACACTCATATATGTGTAATAAGAACTTCTGTTTTCCAGGCAGTGGAAAAACTAGTTTAACCTGGAAAAACTACGAGCTAGTCTAGTAAAACAAATGGATAATTATCATCATAATCAGCCATATATTTACTAAATATCTCCTACTTTCCCCCTTGCTTTCCAGATCCTGACCAAGGACTCAGTGACAGTTAATGTGGATGGAGTGGTGTATTACAAGGTCCACAATGCCACCCTGGCCGTGGCAAACATCACCAATGCTGACTCAGCCACACGTCTCCTAGCACAGACCACTCTGAGGAACGTTCTGGGCACCAAAAACCTGTCCCAGATTCTCTCTGACCGTGAGGAGATTGCACACAGCATGCAGGTATGAGCAGCTTTAGCCCACCCATCAAACAGTTGGGTAAGCAGCAATCCCAGGGATAACTTACAGGTCTGGATTTATTTCACCTCCTAAGTGATAAGCCAAGTTGTGATTCGGAGCTTTAGGCAAAGCCCTGACAAGGCCTCTTGGGATAGATATCTGTGAAATAAAAATGAAGTACTAAAGCAATAATGGACCAGTGGGAATGAGGATCCAGGAGAGGAAAGCTTCCCTGGATCATTACCTCAGTACTCTGCTGTTGAAGGGAATTATGCCACAGAACTCCTTCCATATATTAATCAAGCTCTGAGGAGTTTTGTGAGTTATAATACAAATACTAAAGCCCTTAAAGTCCAAGAATGGTAAGATAATTTAGCTTACTGATCAGCCTTTGAATTGGGGTGTCAGTTTGAGCCAGGTGTGTGGCTGAGCTGACCTGTCGTGCCTTCCAGGTCACACTTGATGAGGCCACAGATGATTGGGGCATCAAGGTGCAGCGTGTGGAGATCAAGGATGTGAAGTTACCTGTGCAGCTGCAGAGAGCAATGGCTGCAGAGGCAGAGGCTGCACGGGAGGCCAGAGCCAAGGTAACCACGCCACCGTGGGCTTGGGGTTTGTTTGGGTTGTGCCTTCATGAATAATTCAACCTGGTGATGTAGCAGATGAAAGTTCTCAGCAGATCCTGTTAAATATTAACTTCTACATAGCTTTTGAAGCTTAATTACTTTATGGGTTTTTAATTGCCATTTGTCCTGATGTTTAAAAGGAAGTTGTGCCCTTGCAATAGGAATCTTTAGGAGAACTGTGCTGGCCCATACGTGATCTGCCTCACCAGTGACTCATCTGTCAGAACAGTGACATCTCCAACCCTGCTGGCCTTGGCAAACACTCAGGAAACATTTACAGGCCCAGTGCAGAAGGGCCCTGCTTGGGAAGAAATGTGTGACCACAATTCTGTCCCTAATGAACTCAGAACTAAAGAGGGGATTAAAAGGTCTTTCCCCAGCAAGAAACATGATTCCCTCTCAAGTTCTTTTAGAGATAAAAAATACAGCTTTAGGAAGTGCTTTCAGCTCTCCATGGGCAGTGCCTGCTGTTTGGAGAGGCTGAAAGAAGCACAAAACAAATACTCTCATTGCATTCTCAGGATTAGTGGCAGCTTTTGTTATCTGGAATCCTGCATGGGAAGAAACCGGGCACACAGGACTGGAGAGCAAACAGGAGTGGCTTGTGCCTGAGCAAGGGGAAGGGCAGAGCTGGTGCAGGCACGTGCCCAGGGAGGTCACTTATCAGAGTGCTGAGCTGTGGCCTTGGTACATGACTTAGGGCTGAAGTCACCCTACAGATTCCCTGTTTATTCCTGTGCCAGGATGACTCCAGTTTCATCCATTTTGCTTCCCCAGGTGATTGCAGCTGAGGGTGAAATGAATGCTTCCAGGGCCCTGAAGGAAGCATCCATGGTGATCACGGAGTCTCCGGCTGCGCTGCAGCTCCGTTACCTGCAGACCTTGACCACCATTGCTGCAGAGAAGAACTCCACCATCATCTTCCCCCTGCCCATAAACCTGCTGCAGGGCCTCATGGATGGGAAGCATTAGGAGGGTGGGCAGAGCTCAGGATCAGCTCACGTTTGCAGCATGGAATTCCCTGGGTAGTGCAGCAAAGTGGGTTTGCTGAGGAGCCTCTTTTGGTTTACTGTTTTACAGAAGTTATGTGTAATGTTTGTGAGTATGGGCAATCACAATGTTTGAAGTTGAAAATTTCCCACAAGGAGTACAAGCAGGTTGTGATCTTATATAAAATATAAACTTTATCCGTACTGTCCTGGATGGGACAGCTCTAATCCATAAACTCCCCTTTTCCAATAGTGGGTAAAACCAGTTATAGGGATGAGCCAACATTTGGAAAGAGAATTATTCCTTCTACAACATGGCTCTGTAGCCCTGCAAGGGAAGGGGAACAGCCCTAACTGTATTCTCCTGAAGTGGAGCTGGATGTGATGGACTGAGTGCATTGCTGTTGTGGATTAGCTGTCCAGCCTACACAAGCAAAAGCAATGGAAGTCAGTACAGGAGTGAGAATGCTGTTCTGGAGCCTTGTGAAAATCAGGCTCCTGCTCTCTAAACCAGTTCCCATTCATGAGAAACAGTTGTTAGTGGAACATTCCCTCTGTTGTGCCACACAGGGATGTACAAACATGCTGTACTTATGCATACAACATGCTTGTAGTCACTGCTGGGATGGTGTTGTTTAGAGTTATTATGCATTAAGGCACTGAAAAGGATCTGCCTTTGTCTGTTCTGTCTTAAAAACTATTTTTTAAACCAAAGTACTGCATTTTATCCGGGTCTAAACCTTATTTCTCTAGGAATGGCTGTATCCAGCAGGTGACATTTAACAGGAGATGCTGCACTGTTGCTATCCCTGTGCTAACATGTCGGTGCTTTACCTGGTGATGCTGCTCCTGAGCAGACCTGGAGTGTTGTGGGTTTACACTTAATCCTCAAAGCAGGTCATCCTCAGTCCACACAGCCCAAGCTGTACATCTGTTAAACTGCTCCCGTTCTGTCCCTGTTTAGCAGATGTAATTACAGATGAAAATGGGAAGAATTAGAGCCTGCATGGGGGAGGCTCTTCAGGCTGCCACCACGACTGAGCCTGGCAGCTGCTCTTCCATTGCTGGGAGGTGGCAGTGGAACTGAAAGCCAAGATCAGTGATGTAAGTGCCCTTCTTATATTGGCCAGCATAAAGGTCATAACTCGTGTTTTATCCTCTTCCTGCTACAATCAGTTCTGTAATTACATATGTTCCAGTAAGGGCAAGGCCTGTTCACCTGTGCCTCAACACACTGTGCCTTTGTCCCTGTCAGGAGAAGCTGCCCAAGTGCTGTTGCTTTTCTGCCTGTTTGCTGTGAAGGTTTTCTCTTCCTCTGCACCACCAAAGCAATATACTCCTGTGTTTGTCAGTGCTTCATGTGAGCTGAGCTTAACTTTTGGCTGGGAGGGGGAGAGTCTAGTTAACAACGCTGGGATAATTAGCATTGTTCTGCTCAGGCACTTGAGAGGGAAACAGAGCTAGTGTACAGCTCAAGGTTAATCCCTGGGGAAGATGAGTGGATCTGTATATCCTGATGTTGCTGCTGCAGGTGCTACCCCTGTGAATTCTTGTTGACAGCAGGAGATGATCTCTGCTCTCACCCTGAATAAAAAACATGCTGTTTGCTAACGAGTGACTTTCTGTAAAACACTGTTTATCAGGGTCTTGAATGCTCATAATTCTGGTGAGGGGAAAGACAGACAGCCCCAAACCTGCCAAAATAATTACTGGAAGTGAAAGGTCCATGTGAAAAAGGTGGCACAAAGGTGGTTTTGGTTCCTCAGAAATGTTTGACACCTTCAGGTGTTTCAGGTGGGAACATCTACAGGTGTTGGTCAATGTTTTCTTCTTTGTAACAAGCCCAACCATTTCTGTTGTTAACATATTTCATACAAGCTTTATTGTATTAAATATAATCAAAGCAAGGATTGGGGTCACTGACTGGTAATGACTGATCTCGGAAATTATTGCACAGCTAATTGGCTATTAACATCATTCCCTCGTTAACTGCATCCTGTCAGAGGAAGGAGCTCGTGAAGGCATTGAAGGCACTGAACTTCTGTTTAAAACACATTCCTCAGACATCCACATCTTCCATTGCTCTCTGGAGAGGATCCACTGACCAGTAGTCATCATCCCAGCCCAGGAACCAGCCAGAGAAGGTTGGTGGCTCAAACCCTTGTTTGACAATGGTCACTGGTGTCCTCTTGTCCCTGCTGGCAGGATCTGTCTCGATGTACCGTTTGGCTGAGGGCACACACAGAAGGAAATCTCAGTGAGTACAAGTCCTACAGAGCAACAGCTAAACTGAGGCTGAATGTGTGCCAGAGACACAGTTTCACATTGTCCATTTAAACTAACAAAAAAACAGAAGTTTTCAGCCTATGGTATTATCACATCTGTTACAATATAAGTTGCCTCATGGTCATATGGTGGGAAATGAGAAATGAAGAGTTCAGAGAGGAAAATATGACATTACCAGATTTCAGTGCCTCAGTCTTCTCTTCTTCTTGGGCATCCTTCCCAATCCATACAAAGACCTAAAGATAAAAATATGCATATTAATGATTTCAGCCACAATCAGTCTCTTCATGAAAGGGTAATTTAGATGAAGTCTCAGTGAACAGAGCGTGAGACAAAACCAGAACATCTTCCTGTTGCTGTGCCTGAGTTGGTGACCTCTATGACCAAAGCTATGGGTCAATGACAGCAGCGATTTTCCTGCATTTTATCCACATAAATTGTGAACACATTCTCCACTCACTTAACATTGGGGGAAAGTCGCAGATGTTTGAACATTCTTACATAAAGCATCCAAATTCACTGAGTTGCCTTTTGGCTCATTTATGCACAGTCTGTAACACAACAGCTCTTCTGCCTGCTGTAACTCAGGCCTCACCCTAGAGCCAATCTGTGCACATCCTTTGCTCCTCTCATCACCCTGTGAATGTGACATACCTGATCCCATGTGTCCAGGAGCATCACATCATCTGTAGCAAGGTCATCCTGAGTCAGATCTCCAGGAACTTCTTCAATCTGGAAAAGAGAAGGTTACGATGAGCACAGGCTTCAGGCGCCACTTTCCTCGCACAGGAGAAACACTGTGTAATCAGGTGTAATCCCTGTTGGGTGGCTCAGAGCAGCCAGGACTGAGTTTCTCCCAGCCTTGTCAGGTGGAGGGTGAGTTATCTTAGGAGGGACTCACAGTGAAGCGCCCACTCTTGTTGGAGCACGCGAAGAGACGCGGGGGGTGAGCATCCATCTTCTTGTCCTTCAGCCGGGGAGAGGTGCGGTACGGAGCCTTCCCGCCCAAAGCTGCCCAGAAGTTCTCTGCAAGAGACAAACTGATGATTCACCTGCTCGTGGAACCCACAGGAGCAGCATGGTTTCACTCAGACTCCACTGTGCCTCCCTCACCTGGCTCTCTGCCCTCAGAAACCTGCACTGGGCGAGCTCCCAGGATCTTGAGCAGCTCTTGTGCTCCTGATTTCTCAGCATCGCTGGCTCCTTGGCCGACCCACAGGTATGCAGCAGAGGGGGTTTTCAGCACAAAGGCATCGTTGGAGTTCAGCTGATTGGCAGTAGCATCCAGCTGGAAAGAAGGAACATGGCAGGTGATGGATGCAATTCTTCTCTACACAGAGCCCATCATTGTAAACTAAAATCAGAACCAGTTGAATAAACTGCAAACAAAACACTCTACACGAGCACGTAAGGCTGTATAACACATTGTACATTCTCTGCATCCAAGGGATGAGTTACTTACTGCATGGGAAGAGTAAATAACTGTTTCTGTGTGTGACCTCCATGCACACATGACCTATGGCAGGACACCTGGCTCTGGCACTTTGCTAGTCTTTATGGTGATGACAGGAGCGTTAGGAACTCCTCGAGTTGCCCCTGGCAGAGCTGTGTCCCTGCTGCACACACTGATCAATCATTAACACGATCTCCTCTGCGTCAACAAGGATGGGTCATCTTGAAGCTAGAAACTTGGCAAGTCACTGGAGCCTTAAAACATCTCTTTCCACATACCTCCACTGCTCTGGTGGCTCCAGAGGTGCTGGATCGGACCTGGAAGAGCCGCGTTGCTGTGGGTGCTGTCTGCCCTCCTTCCCTCGAGGTTCCACCCTTGTACACAATCAAGGGCTTTCCACCAAACAGGCTCATCAGGTGAGGTGGCTCTTTGCCTTGCACTACTCGTTTCTAGAGAAAAAGAAACTTGCTGTCAGTTCTGAGCAGTACAAGATGTACCAGGAACAGCCTTTACAACCCTCTGTCCAGCTAGAATAGTCACACAGCACCCAGCTGGGACTAGGAGTTTAGACTGGGCTCTCACAATGGTCATTTCTTTGTGAGTGACTCACTGGCACAGCCTTAAATCCCCTTCTGTCTCACACAGGCACATGTTAAACCTCCTTGTGTGACAGCTGGAGTGCAGGGGAGGCACATTTAGACCCACAGCCTCTCATGACACCTGCACTGTGGCTGAAGGCTGCCACTACCCCACTGGGATTCTCCCCTGCAAACTGGTGTCATACAACTCTATTTATTCTCCCAGTGTTGGGGTTTGGTTGTTGCTGGGCTATGTTTGTTTCCTTACCTGCACAGGGCTGCCTCCCAGCTGCTCATCCAGCTGCACTGTGAGGAACGCAGAGGTGGCAATTTCATCTTGGGTGGAATCAGCACCTTGCCTGGGAGACAAGGCCACATTTCAGCTTTATTTCAGCCTTTTCCCTCATACACCTTACAGAGATCATGGAGAGGTAAGGAAAACCTTTGATACCAAACCTCTGCATCACTTCATTCAACACGAAGGAGGGATTTGTTATCCTCTGTTGCAGCACAGTGATTACAAGAGGAGATAAGAACCTTTTCTAGATAAGCAGTGCAGATTCTTTAGTGTCCTCATGCCTTGTCTCCCTTTTTCTTTTGAGCAGCCAGTGTAAAAACAGGCCTGTGGGCACTGGATCAGGACCCACACATGCAGCCCCTGTGCAG